TTAATTTTTTCCCTGTTCCTTGGCATTTCATGGGCTGGGTTATTATTTTAAGAACACCCTTTCCTGTCAGTTTGTGAAATACAATTTTTAAAATAAATTATGGTGTTTGTGGAAGGGGGAAGGTGGAAGGTGCTGCTTGTTATTTTTCAACTTTTTTTTTTCATCTTTACTAGATCCTTAATTTCTTTCTCTTTTCTTTCCTTTCAATGATGTTTCTGAGGACCACATCCATTCTCAATTTGAATTCTTCTCTTATGGAAATGACACTTTTCTAAGGCTGCCACTTTAATTTTGCTTACTTTTGAGTCCTTTCCCTGTTCCCAGTGCTATGAACCACCAAATACTGCCTTGTGTTTATATTTTGGCACTTAGATTGTACTTTTTTTTTTCTAACTGTGATTTTTTCTGTGCTTTATCTATATCATAAACTAACTCCCTCTCTCTCTCTATTTTTCCCCTTATGTAGTCTCTAAAACCTCCCTGCACTCTATTCTCTGCACCCACAGGGTCATAGTAACTACTGTTGGATTTAAAATTTTTTTCTTACAAGTAATTTCAAGTTAGTCATATTCTCTACCTCTTAGTAATGCTAATGGTGTTGGTCATATGTGATTTAATTTGTGCTTCTTGATGACCTTATAGGTTTTGAGGGGAGGATGAGTGGAGAGATTCAGATTCAAAGGGTTGCCATTGTCCTTCATACTCAGAAGCCTCTAGAATGTAATAATTTATTGGCCAAAAGGTATTATGTAATTCCTAATAAATTGTGCCATAATGGGATACTTGGGGACAAATTGGAATTATAGTAAAATTATAACTTACATGATAACTTTCTTTTTATAACCATGACAATAAAAATTCTTGGACTTGGATTATAGTTCACAATAATTATCTTCTCTAAGTAAGTGAAATACAGGGACAGGCATAGGAATCATATGTTTCAACACTAGAAAGGATATCAAATAATTATTGTATAATATAGAATATTAGAGCTGAAAGAAAAGTTAGAGAAAGTCTAATCTAACCCAATATATCATTCTACAGATGAGGCTAAGGAAGATGAAGTAATCTCCCAAGGTTACCCTGAAAGTTACTAGTAGGGATGGACCTGGAAACAAGTTCTCCTGGCTCCCTGTCCCTAGAGCCTCTTCCATTGAATGGCCCCAACTCTGGTTCAGCCTTTGGTAGGTGAAGTATCACCATCACCTTTTTCTTGTTGAGACAAAAGAAATTAAATCTCTTAATGTCTTGCATGTAGTAAGTGGCAAAAGTGGGTGTGGGGAGGACCAGGAGCCTTCTTACTCGGCAGTCATTCATTGTGCTGTGCACACTGTGCGTATTGGCTGGCTGCCTTCCTCTCTTTCTACGCTCTCTTCTCAACTACTTTAAATGAACGCTGGAAATATTTTGGATCAAATAATGGCATGTAGTGTCCTCAACAGAGTTTCCATCAAGTGCAGTTCATTACAAAGGGATGAATGTGGCCGGTTTTGATGGCGCTCACTGGCGCGAGTATACAGGTCTTCTTGGCAACAAGGGTTTGCTAGTCGGCTTTTCCTCCATACCTACAAAGCAGGACAAGGTCTTGGTATAACTAAACCACCCAACTTTTGCCTGCTTGAATATCTCAGGCCTGTGTACTTGCTATTATGGTTTCCTGGCTATTGACAAGAGGCTTATTCTTCAAATTCTTTGGGTGCTCTTGAAATGTGTACCTCATCTATGCCAGGGTTGTCTCATGTTGAATTTTCTCTGTGAGTGATGGGCAGAATGTTCTTCTCTGCTGTGCCAATAGCACTTTTCCATATACACTCAGGGAAAGCTTTTTCCCCTCTCAACAGGGCTCAAAAGTCTTGACTGGAGTACTTCAGAAATAGGCATGGTTTATACTTTTTTTTATTTTTTTATTTTTTTATTTTTTTATTTTTTATTTTTTTAAATTTTTATTTTGTCAATATACACTGTATATGAGGGAGGGAGGTGTCGGTGATGGGTTTATACTTTTATAAAAACAAGAGAGTCTGGGCAACTCTTAGCTTGGAATAGCACTGATGGGCTGTGTTTCTCCAAAGCAAGCATATGCATGGTGCTACCAAAGGACACATGTTGAGCACTCAGCTCTCCACTCAGTAAGGCAAGGATGGCACCTTTGCTTTGTGGAAAGAGGATTGTGTTCACTGGGAGAAAAGGCTGATGGCATGTGAAAACGGTGACGGGGAGAACTGGGCTCAGGATGCCTTGATGTCTTACATTTTACAGTCTTGCAGGGAAAAAAGTTAAATTTTCTATATATTTTTTGATGGAATATGCTGGTAGTCCATGTGTACATTTGGAAAATATTAAAGTAGTTTTCAAAACGATAATAGAAAAACCTCGAACCTGGAAATTGCATAGAATTCTGTCCTGAGTGTGCTATATTTATTAGCATACTTTGGAGTTCCCCAAGAGGAAACTCTGTACCTCTTCTGTGTTCCCAGGAGCCCTAGGCTGAGTTGCCTGTTTGCACTGAGGTGCCAAGGGTCAGTTTTCTTCTTCCTGCTCAGGGTGGGCCTAGTAGGAAGGGGAGAGTTTGCCTTTCCTGCAAAGGTCTTGTCATGGGTGAAACTTGCTCAAGCAGCATGTGATAAGGGAATAACAGTGGAACCTAGGATTTTTTTCTCTTCATTCCACAACACCACACACACCTTCCACTCTGCCTTCTGGAATGAGAAAGCAAATGTAAAATAAACTTATATTTTAGTTCCTGGGACTGTAATGCAGTTCCACCTCCTTTTCTGTAAATCTCCCTAACATTTGATCCTTTTTTTCTCCTCTTTTCCCTAACAGTGTTTTATCTTAATTGTAAAATCATGGTTTAGAGTGCAGGATTTGAGACCAGATAGACTGTGGGGAGCTGTGGAATCTTCGATCCTTTTTTTTCTCCTCTTTTCCCTAACAGTGTTTTATCTTAATTGCAAAATCATGGTTTAGAGTGCAGGATTTGAGACCAGATAGACTGTGGGGAGCTGTGGAATCTTCTTAAAACTCTCAGTGATATAGTTTCCTTCTCTATTAAATAGTGCTGTATTAGTGTCCAGGTGGTTATTAGGATTAAATAATATTATGTATATGGAATGATTAGCATATTGCCAGGTATATAGCAAACTCTCATTAAATGACATCTATTATTATTATAGCAGTTAATCTCTATATAGTATCTAGAATTGTGTTTGGCATTAGACAACCAAAAACTGGTAGAAATTATTATATTACTATTATATTAAAAATTATTAATTTTAGTGGCTTGTGAGGATCTTGAAACTGAGCATACATCTTAGGGAGGTCTGCCAAACATTTCATGTTTTCTTTCAACACCAGACAAAATGGTTTGGGAGTAGGTGAGTAGTATAATTCCAAGTCACAGCATTGCCCGTGGTTGGTTTTTTCCTGGTGATCCTATGCATAATTGAAGTTTTACTTTAGAAAGCAGGAAGCTCATCCTAGTGAATAGGTCCAGCTCATGTGGTGCAAGACATTTTAAAAGCTATATTGCAATTGAACTAGGTAAGCATTTATTAACTATTCTACCATCCATCCAGCATGGCCTTCAGAGAGCCAGCAGTCTCATATGAAGGTTAAGATTCAGCACATTGGTGCCTTAAAACCTTAGTTTTTGTTTTGTTTTCTAATTATTAAAATTTGTGGAAAGCAAATAGGAATAAAATATGGAGGTTTAAAAAAATCTTTCTTTGGCAATACCATCTGGGTAGTGATGAAGAAGTTGAGTTTGAATTTTGGCGCTGCCACCTGCCAACCTTGTGGACTTGAGCAAATCACACGCTCTCTCTATCCATTCAATGGGGATACTAATATCACCAGTGAAGGGTGACTAAAGAACTACATTCCATTCGATAATTCACATGAAGCACTCAGTATAGTGCCTGGTATTTAGGCATTCAGTCGGTGTTTGTTATTATTATTTTTATCTCCTTTCAGCAGCCAAAAGGATTTTCCTTGTAGGCATCATGACTAATTAAGTGATTCTAAGTCAGGCTGCTTAGCCTGATGCTGGAGCTTATTTTGGTGGCCTCAGGCCAATATGGCCTGGGGGATGCTTGCAGAGTAAAGGCTGTGCTTTATTTTCTTGTGTCACCTATTTATTTATTTTTGCGATGGACTTTTCTCCCCCCTCGGTTTCAGTATTCGGGATTTCACACGGAAAGATCGGAGTCTGACCACGACAGCCAGTGGGGCGGAAGTCCCCTGACCGACACAGCCTCCCCGCAGCTCCTGGACCCCGCCGAGCGGCCGGGCTCTCAGCATGACGCGTCGTGCGCCTACAGACAGTTCTCGGACCGCAGCTCCCTCTGCTACGGCTTTGCGCTCGACCCCTCCAGGCTGGTGGAGGAGCGGCATTTCCACACCCCGGCCTGCGAGGGGGGCCGCTGCGAGGCGGGCAGGTACTTCCTGGGAACGCCGCAGGCCGGGAGGGAGCCCTGGTGGGGCCCTCGCGCAGCCTTGCCCCTGACCAAGGCGTCCCCGGAAAGCAGAGAAGCCTACGAGAACAGCATGCCGCACATCGCTTCCGTCCACAGGATCCACGGTAAGGGCGGTGGCGGGGACTCCCAGCTCGCAGCGTTCGGCCATTCCGGGGGTGGCACTGGAGGGACTGACCCAAATTGTTTTCTCCTTTAATTTACAAATTGGAAATCACACCAATGGGATTTTAAAAACCAAGTCTACTCTAAGTGTATTAATTTTGCTAGTGTTTGCAAAATATATTCATTTTTGACAAGTTAGTTAAAATAATTCCGATTTTAAACATCAGAAAGTATAGGAATTAAGTTCAAGTGAATTATTGAGAAGTCTATTGCACTTGTGGTGTGCACACATTTAAATTTCTCACGTGTTATTTTCTTCTGCACTGTTCTCATGCTGCAGTGTAGACTTGAATAGTACGTGGGCTCATTAAGTTAGAGTGGCGTTTTTTGGGGGGCAATGTTGATATGTTGGAGAGGACCACTCTTCCTTTCATAGACCGTCACGCATATCACAGAAGTTTAACCTCTGGGACATTAAATGCCAGTAACTGCTTCCCATCATTATGACAACCCACAAATGCCTGTGATACGTAGAACCCACTGAGATTTTCGCTTTGGCATTATCATATGGCTTTACAAACACATGGAAATGGGCACTGTGGTTAAAGCCTTGGTTGTTGGTAATGCTTTTTTCGTTGTCCATTTCAAAGTAAACTGTAAGGAAAGCTCCTTCTGTCCATTCCAAGCTCAGGTCCAGGCAGGTCTTTGAAACCCTCCCTATTTCTTTAAGTCAGTGACATTAGAATTGATCTGAACGCCCTGTTATTACTCTTGTCTTTAGGATGGGAAATGTGCTAGACAATGTTGTCCCCGTCCGTAAAGTCTCCTGTCAAATACCACCCAGACACAGAGTAATTTTAATTTGTTTCTGTTCTCACTTTTTATTTTTCTGCTTTTACTTTGAGAGTCTAGTTTGGTAGGCTGGTAATGGAGACCCAGGGCAAAGGGCAATTGCTTGCCAAAGAATGGAGTGAAGTGAAAATTCTGGTTTAACCTACATGGTCCAGAAGAAAAGAGAAATGGAAAGCAATGGATAGTGCGATCCAGGGCTTCTCTGCTGCATTAAGCAGTTTACAGCTTTCATATATCCCTACTTGTTTCTCTTCTCTCTTTTTGTATTGACTTCAGACTGTTTTGAGAATAATGTAGCTTATGGTATATATTTTGGATGCACTATTTCTGCATATTAGATCTTTCTCCTTGGTTCAAAACAGGTTGTTATTAAAATTATAAATATTTGTTTGTTCTTTACATTATTTCAGAAATAATCTAAGATACCTGAGTAACTTTACAATTACCTATGAAGCTGATTTTTATCCCTAGATTTGAAAAGATAATATTTATATTTTTGGTTGGGACAAGATATATCTGTATATAATCTACACTTATATCACTCATGCTCACATATACACATATACATATGTATGAATTATATATATATTTTAACCTTCAAATATTCTAAAATCTAATTTTAGAGCTTTATTGTAACTACTAAAGATACATTTGAATTTAAAATTCGTTGATTTTATATGAATTTAGTACAAAAAGTTGACAATCTGTCAAGTGAGACTGTTTCAAATATTGGTTTTTTAGAAATGAAAGACATAGAGTTTATTTTAATAGGAAAAAGAAATACACTTACTTTTTTTTTTTGGTGAATTTTGAGGTTGCTTACTTTCTACTCTTTCTAATTTCTAGGGAGAGGTCATTGGGATGAAGATAGTGTGGTCAGTTCTCCAGACCCCGGGTCGGCCAGTGAATCGGGTGACCGATATCGCACTGAGCAGTATCAAAGTAGTCCACATGAACCTAGCAAAATTGAAACTCTGATAAGAGCGACCCAGCAAATGATTAAAGAAGAGGAGAACAGATTGCAGTTAAGGAAAGCCCCCCCAGACCAACTGGCTTCCATTAATGGAGCTGGGAAAAAACACTCCCTCTGTTTTGCAAACTACCAACAGCCCCCACCAACAGGTGAAGTCTGCCACGGCTCTGCTCTTGCCAACACTTCACCATGTGACCACATCCAGCAGAGAGAGGGAAAGATGCTGAGCCCCCATGAAAATGACTATGACAACAGTCCCACTGCACTGTCTCGGATAAGTAGTCCCAGTTCAGATCGTATTTCAAAATCCAGTTTGATCCTAGCTAAAGACTATCTACATTCGGATATGTCTCCTCATCAGACAGCAGGAGACCATCCTGCTGTCTCTCCAAACTGCTTTGGCTCTCACCGGCAGTATTTTGATAAGCATGCTTACACATTAACTGGATATGCCCTGGAGCACTTATATGACAGTGAAACCATTAGAAACTATTCCTTGGGCTGTAATGGCTCACACTTTGATGTAACTTCCCATCTAAGGATGCAGCCAGATCCAGCACAAGGACACAAGGGAACATCTGTCATAATAACCAATGGAAGCTGATGTTTTTCTAGAGTATTTTGTTCTTTAAGGATCTCTGAAACATATTTATAGTTTAATGCCCTATTACTAGCATTTACTATGCCACAGATTGTTAGAAAGGATAATTTAAGTTATTGAGTATGTGACATGTGTTCCAATGAAATAAAACATAACACTAGTATTCAGGGTTATAAACAGATATGGAGCTAAACCGAATACACAAATTGCCCCTTTAATTATATGGGAATCAGAATAGATACATTTTGAATTGAAAAATGCTCATGTAAGATGGAGTGAGCAGTATACCACATGAAAAAGACTGGTGAGTAATAACATTACATTGTGATGACCCAGCAATCCTCATACACACAGACCACTATTCACAGACCACTGTGTAGCCTTTAGATGGAGAAATACAGAATATATTCCATAAATAGACCACAAATAGGTAACTTTCCTTAACCCTAGCACATTAAGCTTCTTAAAGAGATTTTCATCCCCAAAATAACTAAGAGAGAGAGATACGTCCTGTAAAATGATTTCTTCTTTGTGGTTTCAAACCACTAGCTCATTTGGTTCAGGCATAAATTAGAGATATGGTTCTGGATGTGGTCAAGAATGACTTTTCACCTGGTATCCATTATGAGCAATCAGGAAGTAGTGATTTTTCACCTTACTTTTGAGTTAGACAAAGACCAAGATTGCACTGACATAGCAGTAGGGTTTTTTCTATGTAAAAGCACTGAGATGTTGGGACACACATCAAAAAACTTGTGTGCTCAATTGGAAGTAGTTTAATGAAGATGGAAAGGCCAGAGGCAGAGTGAAATGAAACAATAAAATAAATGATTTAAAGCTCAGAACAGGTAAACAAAATATTTGTGGCTTGCTTATAAAACCAACCAAATAAAAAATTCAAACTAATTCACTAAGAAAAAAGGCTGATAAGTGCAAAAAATAACTAAGGAAAACCAGTAAAGTGCTACATGACAGGCGTGTAAGTGTTTGAAAACATTTCAAAGCACAGATGTGCCAATGTGACAACATGTGGAAAGCCTTGGGAGAGAGTCTAAGATAAAAGGTTAGGCTGATAGACAAGTGTTTAAAGACTGAGAGTAGTATTGCGACTGAAAGAACAGGCAAAATGTTCATTTTCCTTATTCTTTGTAAGCAACAAAAACAACAAACTTGGTCTTATGTCTGCGTGGTATAGTGGAAAGAACAGCAGACTAAATGCCAAAATCTCTGGGTTCCAGTGCTGATCCTTAATTTTGTGACCATAGATGTATCACTCACCAGTGATACAATGCTCGGGCACCAGTTTCCTGGGTTGTGAGGCAGCTCTAATGTTCCATGGTTCCATGGTTCACTGGTGCAGCAGAACTGAACATATTAACCAATTAACTATCCACTATGAGTTGTCATGACTGATCATTCTGGCTTCTCTGCACACATACAGAGGTCTAGATGTTTGTAACTCAAGCAGGTGTGTGGGCTCTTTTAGGCATGTATAGCTACAGTCAACTTTCTAGATTCAGCCAAAATATAGATAGTAGAAACTTATGAGGGAAAAGAAAAATAATAAGGTTTATTTAATGCACCAGTGTGTAGAGAAGTTTCATAGATAATATTTTCTAGGAGTACCATGCCTGAAACTCTTGCCATATTCAAGAAGGGGAATATACTGGAAGTACTTGATTTATAATTCTGAAAATATAACATGACATTGAACACTCAGGGATTAGCACTATATTTTCACAGTTAACAGTTATTTGGCAGTCCATATGTAGTTGACAATCTGAACGATGATAATATGAAAGACGAATATTGGGTTAGTTGTACATGAGAGAAGAGGCTACGTAGAATTAAATAACTACTTCTTGGGTATGATAGAGCAACATTTGTGCTGTAAATGCAAAAAAGTGCAAGTAAGTGAAAACGTTAGTGGTTATTATATGTATTTTCAAAAAAAATCAAAGTATAATGAAAACTAAATTTTGCACTGTTCAGCAAAAATATTTAGTAATTTTGAGAAAATTATTTGTGAGAAACCCCTGGAATACTTAAAATGGATTTTTGATCAATTTGCAACATAAAGTAACGTTTTAGGAATGTTAAGGTTTTGCAGAATTCTGTGGATAGATAAATGTTTCAAACACAGAAATATCTGATGAATATGGTGTTTTTAAGAAAGGAAATCTATACAGATGGGTTTTACTGATCAATATATACGTTTTACCAAATGTGTCAGGGATAGATGCTGTAAGAGAAATGAAAACTTAAGAACCAAGGAAAATGAACTCACATTCATTCTTTTAAAGAAAAGATTGTCACTAGTGGAATTTTAGTATGATTTTTATATAAAGGATAGTTAATTGGTGAAAGGAAAAAATTTTGAACTTCACAGATAGGGGGTAATCGCAAGGAATAATAATGCTCTTTAAAATGGTATGACCAATATTTTTATAGGAAGGCAGAACTAACTAAATTACATCTTGATTAAAAATTTTGGTAGATTTACCAAGTTTTAGACACATAACCATTTTTTAAACTTACTGAATTCTAATAACTTTATAGTAGCAGTATTATTATATTACATCTAATAGGCCCACAGTATTATATAGCTTACATTTTTTGCAATATGGTATGACTATTACAAAATGATCCAAAATAAGTTAAGACATTTTATGACATGGTAACTTAAAATATCCATAGATGTGTTAAAATGTATTTATAATCTACATTATTTCATTTTGTGCAGGAACATATCTCCTCATAAGGAAGATTACGTCTATTTTAAAAATATGGGATATAAAATAAATATGTTCCCAATACCATAATCAGTTAAAATTAAACTTAAAGTGGCATTAGTTTTAATCCTTAATTTCTGTAACTTTGATAAATGTTGAGAGCCATGATTTTTACATCACCTTGCAGATTCATAAAAATGTGCTGGGGCTGGCTGGTTAGCTCACTCGATTAGAGTGTGGTACTGATAACACCAAAGGTCAAGGGTTCAGATCCCCATACTGGCCAGCCACCAGTAAATAAATAAATAAGACAAATTTTAAAAAACGTGCTATGTCCAATTACCAGTACAATTCTTATATGTATCAATTCAATAGACAATACAAGTGCTTTCTAGTAATAGTAAGAATTTCTTTATTGCCCATTTTACCTACCCTAACTAATAAAAAAATTTGAATGACCAAAGAAATAAGTGAATATTTACCCAATATTCCTTGGAAAAATTTCTGTTAAAACTATTACTGAAAATATACAGATTTTTTGTATTATTTTTGGATGCATAATATTAACATCACAGTCACTACAGGTCAGATATTTAGCTCCACAAGTCTTTTGACATATCATACGGAATATAATATGCTAGCTATTCTAAACTCTAAATGCCTGATATAAGATACTGTGACAATGCTGATGTGACATTCGAAATGAGACAGGATGCAATAAATGATTTGCCTTCAATGTTTATACAGAAAAACCATTCTTGATTATATTTTACAGGGCTAGAATATTCCCATTGGGTACTAGTCTCAGTTCTCTCTACACCCTGCTGCCACATGCTACCTCTGGGCAGAGAATACCACTTAAAATAAACTTTAATAGGATCATCTAGAAAAGAATAATATGCTCCATTTTTCTTTTCTTTTCTTTTTTATAAGGGATGAGGATGAGGATAAATTCTAGTACAGTTTCTAATACATTTGGAAAATATGCATAGATATTTAAAAATAAAATGAAAGACTCCTACCCCTCCCCAAGATTTAGACCAAATTAGTTTGATAGATGACAGTACAGATAAAGAGACATTCTAAATATAGATTTCATATTTTATAATTTTATGGCTTTCTCTCTCAAGAGCAGGACATTACTAAGATATTTAGAGCAATTCTATTAGTACTAGTAGTACTTGGAAGTGACAGAGTGAATACTGATATTTGGAAAGCTGAGTATTTGACTATTTGGGTTTCATTCACTTTGCCTAGTGGAATAGCTTACACTTTAATACAGTTTTTCTCATTTAAAAAGTTTGAATGCCCAGATTTGTCTCCCTAGTTCACTTAAATCACAGATGTAGACATTTTCTGAATGAAGAATGTAAACCCTGCAGTCCTCCAAGTAAGTGATTCAACATTCACATAAATGTTGAGTTTTTGTGAATAGGGATTTAAATCTAAGACAGCAAAATCTATTGGCTAGTTCTTACCATGAAACATATTGTGGATAAAATATTCATTATCATTCTAAATTTTAGATGAGTAACAGAACAGCTATGGACACATGCAAAAGGTATCATGCATAGAAAATGTTTTTGGGGAAAATGTCTGTGTGGTGCTCATTTCTTATGTGCAGGGCTCTACGGGTAGTGCTTCACTCAAAAGGTGAGATAGTGCTCATTTCCAAATAGAGGTTTGTTCAGATTTCCTTCTCTAGGACTGTATGCAGAAAGGATACACAGACATGTACATGCACACACACACACACACAGAAAATATGATTTTTATATTACCTGTGAATTTATAAAAATGTGCCATATCCAATTTTATATATATAAATATCTATCTCTCTATATATCTATATCTATGAGGAGTCTTCAAAAAGTTAATGGAAGGATTCGTATTATCTTTTAATTCAAATTTTCCATGAACTTTTTGAAGTAACCTCATATATACATACATACAAACACACTCACACACACACACACACACACACACACACACGGTGGTTCACACAAGAAATCCTAATTGATAATTTTAAACCAAACATTTGTAGTTTTATTTGTTGCAATTTTGCTGCATGGGGCTTTGATTTTGTAAATCTCTATGGGGGGAATTTGCCCTAATTTGCAGATCTAGGGCACATTTAATTACACCTAATAACCCTGATGTGTTTACATTTCAAAAGAAATGAAATCAGCATAAAAAATTTTTGAAAGTACTGTAACTTTTTTTTCCATTTTTTCCAAAGGGAAATAGTTCAAAAAATGAAACATATGAGTAGGCACTTCAAAAAAGATAAAATATTTTATGTTTGTTTTTTTGACCGACATGCTATAAAAAGGATTATATTTGTGAGAAAAGATATTGATTGCCAATATTTCAAATACCACCTTGCAATGTATAGTTTTTAGTGACATTGTAGTATAAAGCTGTAATTTGAACTTTTACTTTGGAATGTAAAGTAGAAAATATTAGCTATGTCAATGATATCTTGCAAAGTGTTCTCATTTATAATTATTTATATTGTAAATAGCTTTCTGAAGTAAATTTGGAGTTAATGTGCATAAAATGTATTTATTATGTGAGGAACTTTTTGTTTTAAAATATAGTTACCAATATGCAGTTTGAGTGTGAATTATTCATTGAAAGAAAAAATCTCTGCAGGACAAAACAGACTGTTAACTAAAAGTCTAGTACTGTAAAGAAACAAAGACCATTTTAGCTCTAGATTCTCTTGGAATGGCTAACACTACAAACACACACACACTTTAAAAGATCTAGGAATAGAAGTTTACACATATGCACAATAACTATTAAGTAATGGGTGTGATTTTTATTAGACACTGGAGAATTGTTTCTCAGTTTCATTAGGACATTTTACATGGGACTTCTTTGGTCTCCATTTTGCCAAATAAAGTAAGAAATTTGAAAGTACAGATGCCTAAGGGAAAAGAAAACCTATAATATTGAGATTATTTAGTTTTTTGGTCATTCAAAAACACATTAAAAAACACATCCTGAATAATTTTTTGTTCTGGAATTCAAAATATTTTTAAAATTCAGATTAAGAATTAAGGTCAAACAAAAATAGATTTCCAGCTAGTTCTCTTTTAAGCATTTTCATAGTGCCCAACATGCTTTTCTTTTTATCCTCCAGGAATTTCTGATTTACTCTGTGTGTTCCAGAAATTGTGAACCATTAGCCAATTCAACAAATCAACACAATATCTTTTCAATTCAATGAGAATGTGGTTTGTATTTCATAAAGTATTTTCACAAAGCTGAAAAAAATATCAAAATATTATTTTCATTAATATTACAGCATTTATCAGATATTTTCGAACATGATTCTTTAAGATACTTGTTTTAGTGCTTTTATTTCTAAAAATAAAATTGTTTTTGTCTACTTTATTCTCCAACATAACTGCACTTCCAATTTAATCCACAACATTTATTGGATACATTTTATGTGTTCCAAATGGGATAGGCACCAAGAATCTATCTCATTGCGGGGTGTTAAAAGAAAGAAAAACAGTGGATCTTTGATTTTTCTTATGTGCTTTGAAAGTGTAAATTCTTTAGGTAATCATAAAAGTGACAAGCACTTATTGAACCAGGCACTGAACCGAGCTGAGATCACCACAGTAGGCACTGAACCGAACTGAGATCACCACAGAAGTATGAGTAGAGACCGTCACAGAGGGAGATACCAGTATGCTCTGTTCCATTAATGAGGAAACTGAGACTTACAGTGGTTAAGTAACTTAGTTGCAGAGCTAGTAAGTGGTGGAGATG